CTTCTATCCTCTTGGTCCATGTACAGCCTTCCTGTGGCTTCCCATGATGATGCTCCATTGGGACATGAGTCCCTGGGCTCTGGGCTTTAGTGAACTCCTCTCGGAAACCCAGTGAAAACTAAACTTCAGACAAAGACCCTGCATTGCTTGGGTTAGCAGAGACCCTCTGTGTATCCCAGGCAGCACTGACCGCTGTCTCCAACTTCCAACATGTGCGCTTTCCTCCAGGCCACCTGTCTCTTGGCTTTGAGGCTCTGTGCCTTCTCTACTCTTGTGCGGGCCCCAGCACTACATACAGGTTTCCTTCTGTGCTGTGTGCCTAGTTTACTAAACCCATGGGAAAGAACTCCCACAGTCCTTGATCCCTGCTGATCTGAACTCTGGCTCACTTCAGAGGCAACAGCCCTAGCTGATCGTAGAATTCTCAAGTCAGTGTTTGGGTCTTTTCTCTGTGCCTGGTGGGGGCTTCTGGGAGAGGCCATCTTGCTGGGAACCCCCTATGAAGACTGAGGCTGGGAAGATTCCTAAAGGAGATTGGATGCTGGGTTGGCAGGAAGAGCATGTACATCACAGATGACGCCTGACTCCACTGTGTCTCTTGTAGGCTGCCCAACCACACCCCACATCCCCACCGCTAACAGGCCATCAGGCATGCCTTCTGAGTTGTAGGGCTTCTTGGTTGCATTATCCCGATTGCCAGTTCCTGGTTCAACCACAGGCTGAGAGAGCGACAGCATGGCATGGGCATTCCCTCTTTCCTCAGCTGAAAGGGGCATTGAGAGTGTAAAGGAAGAGACTGTGCCTACTATGCAGTCTGGAGGTGTCCTGCAGCTCACACTGGAGTTCTGTCCTGATGAAAGCATCCGCGCGCACCTTCAGTGCACCCAAAGAAGCCGCTCAGCAACACAGCTGTGGCAGTTTGAATAAGACTGGCCCCATAGGCTCATAGGTTTGAATCTTGGTCAGGGGGTGGCACTACTTGAGAGGGATTAGGTGCAGCCTTGTTGGAGTAAGTGTGTTACTGGAGGTAGGCTTTGAGATTTTCTTTTTAAAGATTTATTTATTTTATGTATACCAGTGCCCTATCTGCATGTATGCCTTTATGCCAGAACAGGGCATTGGATCTCACTACCATCTTAGGATCTCTGGAAGAGCAGCCAGTGCTCCTAACCTCTGAGCCATCTCTCCAGCCCCAGGCTTTGAGATTTTCAAGGGCTCAAGAGTGTTTCTCTCTTTTCCTGTTGCCTGTGGATCCAGACGTAGGACTCTCAGCTCCTTCTCCAGCACCATGTCTGCCTGTGTGCTGCCATGCTCCCCACCATGATGATAATGGACTGAACCTCTGAACTGCAAGAGGTTCCAATTAAATGCTTTCCTTTATAAGAGTTGCCGTGGTCATGATTTCTCTTCGCAGCAATCGAGCACTGACCAAAGCGACAGAATATGAAGGAGTGCCGGTTCCTACTCCTCACTCTGGCCTTGCAGCTGTGGCCCACTGCCATTCCTCAGTGTCAAGAGATGAGTGTGTCTCATGTGGTTAGCCCAGGGAAAGGCCTTTATTCAAAACCCGAAATGTCCCTTCTACCAAATGGCTATTGCTTCCACATTGTAGAGAAGCAAAACATTCCTTAAGTAACGTCACTGCTGAGCTGGGGCCAGCCCAAGCAAAATGTGCAGATGTGAGCTGGTTGTGGATGCTCTGTCACTTGGAGGATGTGAATTGGATCAAGGTTCCCAGATGGACAGCTCTGGACTGAATTCTACCATACAGACCGAGGTGCCCACCTAACCTGTTTATTCTTGGCAAGGCACACCCTGGTGTGTGAAAGGCCATAGACAAATAGAGGGGTCGCTGGGGCTTAGGGTTGAGAGTTAGATAGAGACAAATTCACAACTGGCTCATCCCAGGAGCAATAATAGGCCCCTCTATGCCAAGCAACTCTCTCGGTGAACTTGTAACAACACCTTCTTTCCAGATAGCACTTGATAACCCCATTTGCAGAGTGACTTCTACCCCCTGCCCCCACCCCCCAGGTCTGGAAGGCCTAGGAATTTGCAGCAGTTTCTATGGACAATCAACCCTCTGCCTCAGATTCTGAACTTTAGGTCTTAACCACTTCCAGAGGAGTGAGGCTGGAGGATAGGGGGTTCCCAGACCCCTTCCTTAGCCACAGACACAAAGCATAATAGCTCTCACATATATCTGACCCTGTCTACTCAGGGGGCCTCTGGGAGGCTGCTCAGTATTCGGCTGAGCTTTCCCTTCTGTGTGTTGAGGGAGCATGGAAGGGGCATGTCATCCCCAGGCACCAGGGCAAACAATAAGGGGAGACCCTGCTCCCCACATAGCACTGACTCCATGAATGAAGTTGTGTGTAAGCTGGGCATTAGCCATTCCTGGGTTTGGGGTTTGTGGAGGAGGAGGCTGGGCCTGAGACCCAGACACCAACAGCAGAGGGTGCTTTCAGGTGGGCGAGGCTGCGGTGTTGTAGGGGAGGCAGGGTGTGGTGGTTTGGGCTGGGGCCCGTGATGAGTTTGGAATTCCCCAGGGCTTTCCAGAAGTCAGAGAACTGGGGTGGAGTGGGCTGTTTCTCCAGTCTTGTCCTCCTGTGCTGGCCACAGCGGGGAAGCCCTGGGCGGGTGCTACAGACAGCTGGTACGCCCTGTCTTCAGCAGAGAACTGAGCTGCACTAGGAAAACACTAAGGGGAAAGGAGAGGTATCCTGGGGCTCCAAGATGAGGTCATGCCTCCTCTGCACTCAAGATAAGAATCCAGGGGCTAGGAGCAGGATGGCTCAGTGGTTAAGAGTGCTTGCTGCTCTTGCCAAGACCCAGGTTCAAACCCCAGAACTTACATGGTGGTGCACAACCACCTGTCACTTCAGCTGGGCGCATATGTGTACATGTGCACACATACACATTCACTGTGTGTGTGTGTGTGTGTGTGTGTACACAGAGAGAGAGAGAGAGAGCGCGCTAAAGGGATAGTGAGTCAGGAGCTACCTATCCAGCATGGCATTGGATAAAGGCTTGATCGGGTCATATAAGGCCCAGAGGTGACTGCTTTGTGGCTATGGGACTTCTCCAGTTGGTCCTTATTCCCTACTGACCCAAAGGACCTGAAGGAGGGGAAGAAGAGGAATACATTTCACATGGTCAGAGAAGGAATGTTCTTTCCCCAGTTTCAGACACAAAAGCTGAGGTTCGGAGTAGGGTTAAAGCATCAGTAGGACGGGGCAAGTGGAAATAGACTTGGAGGAACTCAGGGTTCCCAACCACTGACTCCGGGCTGGAAGAAGGGATCAGCTCGTGTTGGGACAGGGAACAAGAGGGTGGAGAGTTCAGGAAGGTCACGGGGGTCAGAGCAGAGAGGCTGCCTGACCTGAAAAGGGCCCCTGAAGTTCATGTGTTAGAAATTTCATCTCCCAGACCAACCAGATGGCTCAACTAGTAGAGGCTAATCGTGTTTACCTGAGTTTGAGTCCTAGGACCTACATGGTAGAAGGAGAGAATTGACTTCCGCAAGTTGTCCTCTGGCCTCCATATGCATGTGTACATGGGAGTGCATGTTTGTGTACACACGCACACACACACACACACACATACAAATAAACAAATAAATGTTTCTTTTAAACCCCAAATCAAAATCTTTTGACTTCCATGCAGCAGTTTTGAGATGTGGGGTCTCTAGGATTAAGTCATAAAAGCTTGGCTTCCATATATGCATGGATGCCATTACCGCAGGTTGATTCATTATCTTTAGAATGGGCCTTGTATAAAAGCCAGCCCCACCCCCATAGGTTCCTTTGCCCCTCGGCCTTCTGCCATGGAATACAGCTAAAACCCTCATTAGACGTAGGTCTTTCCTACGTCACAGCCTCCAGAACTATTAGCTCTGTAAACGTCTGTTCACGAGAAATGATTCAACACTTGGTGTTCTGCTGGAGCGACACAAAAGGGGCTGCGGCAGAAGCAAGGGTGAGCTCAGACCTGGGTGGGTCCCAGCATGAGCCAAGCTGCAGCTGGCCCAGAGCGCAGGGTCAAGATCAGGGCATCAGAACCAGAGCTTAGGTAGTCCAACAGGACTGTGACTCTGCCCAGAGGCCTCTGAGGTCTCCTGGGTCCAGCCCCCTCCCCCTGACATTTGAGGCCTTCTGTGTTGATATGCCTGACCCCTGAAACCATTCCTGTGGCCTCGTTTTAGACGGTCCAGTCTCTCCTGTCTCCTATAAGCACGTGTCAGCCTCATCTCTCACACGTTACCCTGCCTGAAATAGTCTATTCTTACACAAAGCCAGTCCCTTCTCCAGCTTTATCTCAGGAAGGCCCTCCAGGAAGCTCTTTCTGAGCATTCCAGCCAGAGACACATGGAATGTCTCTGGAGCCTGGAACACATTGGCCAGTCACTCAACACAGGCATGTATTCCAGGATATGTCACCAGGCATCCTGGGGGACACTGGCATCTGCTGTCCTTGTTGCATGGAACTGAGGGTCACAGGGGAGAGACAGACAGTAGCCAGGAAAATGGTCAAACATACCGTCGCAATGCTGACACCTATGAAGATGGAAACACACTGGCCACTGATGTCCTAGAGATCGACTCTAGGACTCCAAATGAGACCCCTCCTCCAAGACTGTCCAGGCTCTGACCTCTCAGCCCACAGCCTGGCCCCTACTGGGTCTGAGCACCTCTCTCCTTGGGTTTGAGCTCATATTGGATTCTCTTGGTCCATTTGGTGCTGTGTGTCAGAATTTTCCTCCCAAATATTCAGATGCTCAAATCCCTCTTCTAAAATAGTGTAATTTTTACATATAACCTGTATGCATCCTTCATATCCTTTAAATTATCTCTACATGACTTATATCTAACACAATACAATGTCTTATAAGTTTTTAAATAAAAAATACACTTTATTTATTTGTGTGTGAGAGCGTATATCATGAGTGGGCACACATGTGCCATGGCATAAGTGTGGAGGTCGGAGGACAATTTGAGGGAGTCAGTTCTCTCCTTCCATCATGTGGGTCCTGGAGATTGAACTCAGGTCATCAGGCCTGTCGGCAAGCACCTTTACCTGCTGAGCCATCTTGTTGGCTTCATAAACAATTATTATATGGCATTATTTAGGAAACAGAGACAAGAAAATAATCTGTGTATGTTGGGGACAGACAAATATTTTGAACATTTTAAATCTAGGGTTGGCCTAATCCATGATGTAGAACTCAGTGTTCTTAGAGTAGGCAAGCCTCTGACTTGGGCACAGAAGGTGACCCAAGACACTTCGGAAATTCCTCAGCTGCAGAAAGCTGGCCCGGCTGGGATGGAGGCTGTTGGCCCAGGGGGAGCGGAAGGAGCTGCTCCACATCTCATGTGCTGAGGACCTGGTGACAAGTTTGAGCTGTGGTCTCAAAGCAGCAGGAGCCACCACTAGACCTGGGAGCATGTAGTCTCACAGCGGCACTGGGAGAACACCTCTCTGAGAGCGGCAGAGTGGGTTGAAGGAGTCAAGGCCGGATCCCAGGACGTCACTTTAGTTGAAGTGGTAATGAGAAGTGGGTGTATTCGAGGTGCAGCATCAACCAAGCTTGGGCGACAAGAAAGAGGAATGCCTAGGATCCTAGCGGAAGTGACCAGGTAGCAGGCAGGCCTAACTTTTTGATATGTTGAAACGTTACCTTCAAAGCAGGTTGGACATGCCTGATACAGCATGCAATCCGCTGAGGGAACCTAGGCAGCAGATGGGGCCGTGGGGGAGAAGTCCATGAGCTCCTTTGGGGATGGTAAGCACGAGATGCCAGTGGGTGACTCGCCGTGGGGTTTGGTAGCTCCGTGGAAGAACCTAGACGGAGCACACGGGTCACCAAGGACACAAGTAGGAAACGTAGCTTATCCTGAACTCCAAGTGTCCCCCATAGCCTCAGACTCTCCTCCTACCACCTCACTCCAAATATCTGCAACACATCTTCAGAATGTGCAATGGTCTGTGCACAGCATCAAGACTGAAAAGTTCTGGTCTAGTGGGATAACTAACCAGGATTCTGGCTGTTGTGAGTGGGTGGAACAACATCATCCATGATAGAGGACAGAGGAGAAGGAATGGGAACAGGTGCGTGTGTGCGTGTGCGTGTGTGTGTAACTATTGAATTCCCTTTAGACCTTTAGAACTCTGCAAGCTTAAGAGCACTCAGTTGCAATGTCTCAGAGGAACTAGGCACACGAAGAACCAGGGATCTGGTAGGAGGTACAGGCATCAGTGTAGCAATGGTAGAATTCTGTCACTGTGACAAACGCCCGAGATGATCAATGTGCGAAGAGAAGTTTATTATAGCATGGACTAGTGACATTTGTTAAAATATACATGCTCTATTGCACAAAATCATGACGAGGATAAATAATAGCGCATCACACACTTCAAAATTGCTAAAGGAGCAGGTTTTAAATGTTTTCAATTTAAAAAATGGTTAAGCATGTGAAGTGATGGATTTCGTAACTATCCCGCTTTAATCATTCCCCATTGTAAACATGCATCAAAGTGTCGGGCTGTACCCTGTAAACACTCAGTTATTATTTGGTAATTTTTAAAGTGTGCATGGCTTTGACACCAAAGACTTGGATTCTGCCTCCCGGGGGTGGGGTAGCCATCATTTTAAAACAAAACAGAAATGAGGCTTAAGCGGCATTAAGTCTGCTCCTTTGAGCATTGCTGGGCTTAGTCAAAGAGGCCAATAGCGCCACCTTGTGGCATTCATAGCGGTCACACCACCTTCCAAAAGGGAGATTTTTCCATTCTTGGACCCAGACTATCTCTTCTAAATCCCAACATTTCTGCAAGAAGACACTCTCACCTTCGTTTCATTCACGGGGAAGGCAAGACGCAAACCGTCAAGAGAACATCTCTAAATAAATCACACACTTGAGATGCTGAAGAGAACTAAATCCCAGCTCCGTTGTCTGTGCCAATGGCTTATAAATCTGGCTAATAAATAAAACCTTCCAGGCAGTCAGTCAGTCTTTGTGAACTGGTGGTGAGGCCCTTGGACCACTCACATGCATGTGGATTTTTGTCTTCCTAAGCAAGCATGTGTTTACCATAGATGAAGACTGGAAGAAGCTATCCAGGACAGGGAGTGACCTGGGATAGTCTCTAGACTTCCCTCCAGGCCTTAATTTTATTGTCATTATTCTATAAGCAATGTCCTACAACAATCAGTTACACAGCAATTACATTGTGTTGGGTACTGTGAGGAATTTAGAGATAACTTAAAGTCTATGGAAGGATATACATGAGCAAATGCATACACACACACACACACACACACACACACACACACAAGAACTTACATGCCATTTTATAAAAGAGCTTAAGCATTCTTGGGCTTGGGTATCTGGGGGGTTCCTGTAGCCAATCCCCTACACTATGAAAGGATGAGTGTGCACTTTTGCACACACACAAACTTACAAGCATCAGCAAGACAGAGGGAGAAACACCAGAAATATCTGAAAGCCAGAAACAAACTCTTGAGTGCAACTGACTAGGCTGTGTGTACTGATTTTCTGCTGTTTTCTGAACATCTCACAGAAATGAAAAGTCCAGGCATAAAGGTCCTAGAACTCCTAACACGAAGGAAAGGGGATGCCAACAGTTAAAGGACCCACAGAGATGCGGGAAGTGGCAGCACCCTTGAGATCTTCAAGGCATCCAACCAAGGTCAGTTCTGGCCTCGCGCCCAGCTGCCTGGCAACGCCCCAAAGTGCCAGGGTGGGAGAAAGGTGTCTACTATCTGCAATCTTACTCTGCCCTGTACTGACACTTGTCAGTCAACGAGTCCTAGCCCTAACGTCCTGCTTCTTTCTTCCACATAAATATGAACAGGAGGAAGAGAACCAGCCATTAACACTTGAGGAAAACCAGCTTCCTGAAAAAGGAAGGCCAAAAAAAAGGGGGAGGAGACGGACTTAACGCCATGACCCTCACAGATATGGGGACAGATCCAAAAGTGGGAGAATCAATGGCAAGGAAAGCTAATTAGAGAAAAGCAGTGCCGACTATCCTGTTTAGCTAAGAGATGTCTGCACCTCAGTTTTTCTCTCAGCATTAGTCATGAGAGTTAATCATCAGCTAATTTGTTCCACATTTCCTTGGGTTCATGTTTCATCACATGCTGAAGGGCCTGCGAGTTGATTCTGGGTTCTTTCTGAGTGTTTATGTGTGTGCATATGATGCATGTGTGTCTGGGGGGCGTGCACATGTTGAGATCAGAAGACGACACCAGCTGTGCTGTTCTAGAACACTCTGCCTTATTCTCTTGAGACAGGGCCTCTCACTGGACTTGAAGTCAGCCTGGTAGGGAGCAGGCCCTAGCAAGCCTATCTCTCCCTCCCACAGCTCTGGGCCTACAGACATGTACTCAGTCACACCAGACTATTTATGTGTATCCTTGGGATGCGAATTCGGGTCCCCATGCTCGCACAGCAAGTCGTCTTACCCCTGAATCATTTCCCCAGCTCCCCAGCTCCCCAGCTTTGATTTTTGTTTGGTTTTGGTTCTGTTCAAAGTTACAAATGATGCTGAGATTACATTTAACTTCCTTGGACTTCTGTTTATGGATATTAGTTCTGTTTACAAATTGTTATACGTAAAATCAGGATGTATAATATATATTTATGATGTAGATTAAATGTAATTCATAGATATGAAATTTTAGAGCAGTACTGGTTCCCAAGTTGGGGTGATTCTGTACTCAGAGGACATCTGAAGATATTTCTGGATGGAAGAACTGATGGGGATGTTACCAGCATCCAGTAGGTTAGAGACCAAGGACGTTACTAAGCATTTCATGGTATACAGGGTAGCCCTACAAGAAAGACTTTCCAAAGCTCAAAAAGTGAGAGTGCATGACCCAATCAATAAGTGCAAGTCCTTGTTTCAAAGCTTGAATGAAAGTTCTTTCCTTTATTGTCTGCATAACATAGCGAGTCCCTCGAGACAATCATTCTCTTCAAATATGCATGAAGTTATTACCAAAAATCATTTTACTCAGCCACTGGGACATCTAAGTGAATTAAAAAATGTAGGAGTTATTCTATGTTTCCTTACCATGAAGCAAGAACTGAGAAATTAATACAAAATGTAGATTCCTCCTGCCCCATCCTTATCCTCCTGCTGCAGACCCACAATTCTAACACCGGTAAGAAATTTAAATTTCACAAATAACTTTCCTCCTTCTCTTTCTCCTTGTTGTTGTTTTGTTTTTCAAGACAGGGTTTCTCTCTGTAGCCCTGGCTGTCCTGGAACTAACTCTTGTAGACCAAGATGGCCTCAAACTCACAGAAATCTGCCTGCCTCTGCCTCCCAAGTGCTGGGATTAAAGGTGTGCGCCACCACCACCCAGCAAATAATAAATTTTTAAAGAAGAAACGGAAAGAAAACAATTATTCCTGAAATAATACCAATTAGAGTGTTGGATGTTCAAAGTTCTTGAGTACACTCAAATGAAAACTCAGAAAAAAAATAGTCTTGTGAACTTTTAAAAAATAAAGACAATTAAAAACAAAAGAGATGGATTTTCTTTTACTTGTTGAGAGAAAACAAGGAAGGCAATAGTTACCAAGACAGTAAGAGGAGAAATTTCATAATAATGAAATGAAACTAATGAAATACAAACCAAATGTGACCTCAATAAAGGCTTCTCTAAAATTCCAATAAAAATAAAAAAAAAAGGGAAAAACTCGGATTCATAGTTTGACTTTAAAGGGGGAGAAACATTAGAAACAGAAGTAAGAAATATTGGGGCAATTCATAATACATAAGTAATATGAGGGATGGACTATGAGCACAGGTGCACAGGAAAGGGTTGGGTGTAGAGTTCCGTGGTGGAGCACTTGGTTCTCGTAACAGGCCTGCGTGCCATCTACAGGTCTATAAAAGGATTCTTCAAATTCTGTTTAAGACGGTGTGTTGACTATACTGACCCAATTTCAGTTGTTCTTAAAAACCCCATGAAAAATACAATAAAAGAATCAAGACAGGAGAACAAGCCTCCCCCCAAATAGGGAGAATGCAAGGGGTGATAACAAAAATTTTAAGGCTAAAAAGTAGACACTTGAGTCGTAATTGACTTAGACTCCAGATCAAACAAACGAGCTGAACACTGAGATTAAAACTTCAGTATAGCCAGGCGGTGGTGGCGCACACCTTTGATCCTAGCACTTGGGAGACAGAGGCAGGCAGATCTCTGTGAGTTTGAGGCCAGCCTGGCCTACAAGAGCTAGTTCCAGGACAGCCAGGACTACACAGAGAAACCTTGTCTTGAAAAAAAATCAACCAAACAAAACCCAAAAACTTCAGTATATTGGGTCAAAGGCGATGTCTCAGTGGGTAAACATGAGGAGTATCTGAATCCCCAGCACCCATGGAGACAGCTGGGTGTGGTCATCCAACAGTCCACAACACCAGCACTTTGTGGGTCAGAGACATGGCATAAGGATCACTGGGGCTTGTTGGCTGCCACCCTGGCTCCAGGTTCAGTGACAGACCCTGTCTCAATGGATTATGGCCAAGAGCGAGAGAGAGGCCATCTGACACCCTCTTTTGACCTCTGAACTCACACGCCAAGCACAAATAACACACATATGCATGCACGCACACACAAACACGTATACATGCACACACATCTCTTCAAAATGCATCTATCTGCTGCACTACAGTCAGGACTATACAATCCACCTGCATCAGTAGAGTGGTGAAATCACTCACCATGCCAACTCTGGTTCTTTTGGGAGTGAGTAACGTCCTAAGTGAATGTGTACTGTTCCACAGGGCACAGCCATATCCAGGAC